TGGAAGCAGTGGAGAAGGAACTCCTCCGGAGCAGGGTGGAGTGGCTCAGGAGCCAGCCTCTGGCAGAGGTGGCTGCAGAGGAGCGTGACACAGCAGTGTTTGCAGAAGAGACATTTGTCTAAGGCAATGGATGTGGAGGAACTAAATACTATTTTGTGTATGTGCAACAGAAAATATTCTGTAATATATGATCAGGGTGTGAAGAATTTAGCAGGCTGCATGGGGCAACAAGTGTAAAGTGACACTAATGTGTATGTAATGATGGGGTTCAATACTCATTTTGGTGGGAGGTGGGGGGGCTGTTCTTGCGTTTTCTTTATGCCCTTTTCAGATGGAAGAGACTTCACTGGGTGGGTGTGGAGTGAATACCACCAGACTCTCCCTGTCCTAGTATTAGCTGACCTGTACAGGGCCTGACTCTATTTCTTTTTTTATAGCGGGAAAAGAGAAACTTTGTTTTATTTTCTCCAGTCATCTGCTGATGTGTGTGGATGACTGGACAACAGGGACAGCTAATGCTCCATAAGAATTAGTTAAAAATCTTTACACTTGCACAAAACCCACCATTATTCACTGTTCATCACAACCATTCATCCTTCACCTTCATTCCAGAAATCACTGCTGCTTCACTTGGCTCATCTGTTGTCAGCTCTGGTCTAGCTCAAAGCCCACATCCATTATTGGTTGAGGCTGGGTTCCAAAATCAGCAGCTGGAGCCCAGAGTCCAAAGTCCAGCCTTCACTGACAGATAGCATGTGTATCATTTTAAGCCCAAGATTGCTTTTTTCTGGAATTAACTATGCAGCGATTCTTTCTTCTCATACCTTCCCCAAAGTTAGCATTTGACAGGGACACAGTTGCTATAAAGGATTTTAGTACTGTCACTTGGACAGGGATGTGAATGTTCTTCTGTGTCTTCTGGGAGTAGCTCAGTAGCTAGGAGTTTCAGTCCTAGTGAAAGTTGACAATTTTCTGTCAATGCTGATGCCTCTTTCTAGAGGCAGTGTGGATGAGGCAACTGACCAAATTCCTAGTCATGCTGAGAGGGATTTGAGCAGGGCTTGGTTTTAGCATGAGGTCAAGGAGTTGTGGAAGTTGTCAGGAATGTTGTTGAGTAGATGCTAAAGCAAAGTCTCATGTGGCCAGAAAGCTGTCAGTTCATACACTGAAACTGTCCAGGCTTCATCACTGATGCTGGCTCAGAGAAACACTGACTTCCCACTCAGCAGAGTGTGTGGCCCTGTGTGCTCCAGCAGAATTAAGTGTGGGGAAATCCAGGCAGGGGTGTGCTAAGCAGGCTGCTGGACAACCAAAGAGATGCAGCCAAGTGGACTCCTGAAGCATCTCTCAAAGCCATGCTCAAAAGTGCCACAGATGTAAAGGGACACTGCCAGCTGAGATCTAAAAAGATGCTGAGAGCACCACATCAGTTTGACAGGTTGTTTTAAGAAAACAGTGGGAAAAGCCTCAAAGGTTAAAAGGTTTGGGATGGTTCATTTGAAAGTTACAGGAGAGTTTTCTACAGTGGTATCTGTCAGAGAGACAATCCTTTTAGTCAGTGAACAGTGAATGGGTGAAGGAAAAGAGAAATACATGAATTCTGATGACTGCGAGGTTGTGTTTGTGGAATAACTATCCCTGCAAGCTGCTGAGTATCTGCAAATAGCCAGAGCTGGAGCTGCATGACAGCTGCCATGGTTCAGTCCTTGCACAGAGGGGAAAGCCACCTCTGTAAAATTATCAAGTGTCAGATCCCTCTGCTCATCTGCCATGTGCCTATGAGGGTCAGTGACAGGAACCTAGCCCAGCACTCCAAATTCACATCATCAAATACTAGGGCAAGGGAACCAGGGGGAAGCCCAGAGCCCACTTTCCAAGGTGTATACAGTTTGTTTTGTTAGATGAAGGGTGCTTAACTATCAGATGTGGCACTCTGTCCCAGATCACCTTTGTGGCCCTTGTATAATGAAAGGTGTATATAATCATAATATGACTCCACCACCATAATTTTCCTCACACATGAACAAGGCATCCACAGTCTTTTTTTCCAGAGCTACAGTTGTAACTGTTTTAATAAAAGACACATGAGTTGTCGTTGTGGTGTTGTCACCTTTTGTTCCTTTGCTCTTCCTCCCCTCTCCCCCGTGTCAGGGTGGTGGCATTTGCACTGAACTGCTGTGAAACACACTCACCTCCAGCCCAGGTCTGCCAGGCTGGCCACGCTGGCAAGAAGCCTTCTGCCAGCACAGCAGTCCAGGTATTACTCTTGTCTTGTCAAGAAGGTGAAACAGCACTAAATATTATAAGAAAAGCATGTCTGTTCTTGTAAAAGAGATTATTCTGTATTCTAAACATACTAACAGATTGTAAACTCAGTGGCTGGACTCGGGTGAGACAAAGGGAACCTAACCAAGTGCAGAGTAAGAGCTTACAATTTGCATCACCTGAAAGGATCACAAGAAACTTAGATTCGTTTAGAGAAACACTGGGAGAGGCAGGGAAAAACACAGTTTCCCTTGCCTCATCTTAGGCTGCCTAATGTGGACACAGTTCCCTGGATAGCTGCTCTAACCCAGGTCTGTATTATAGCATTTTTCTTTATTTTAAACAAAACAAAATCCTGCAAAACATAGCACAAAACAGTGTGCACAAAAACCAAATTTTTCTTCAAAATTTGCAGCCCTTCTTTTCCATGAGACAGACAATAATACAACTCAGAGACCAATCTTGAAAATGTTCCATAGACTCCAGCTTGCTCGTAACAAGTAATAACAAATACACAGACACTTGGTTGGCTTTCTGCCCCAGGAAGGCCACATTTTCCCTTAATGTATAGCCCTGAGATGCAAACAAGCTTCCATTCTTTCTCTGCCCTTTTTCAGTTCATTTAGACCATGCTGGCCTGTCATATACTCAAAGCCCTCCTCACTGCCCCACTGGATGCAGGCTCTTGGGAAGTCATATTACATGGTCACCATCCAGGAAGCGAGGAGCCTTCAGGGCCTGCTCCCAATTTAGACCAAGGCCAAACAAGTCCAGCTCATCTGCCTTGAAGAGAAATGACTCATGCAGTTCAGCCTCATCTTATTTCTGCTCAGGATATATGATTTCTTTCCTTAGCCTGCAGGCTGACAGAAACATAACGGAAGTGCCTGAGGCAGCTGTAGTTTACTTTAAACTTTCCAATTCTATTTCTGATGTTTCAACTGTCAGGAAAGCCAGTCTTCCAAGACATAGTCTCTCTCATCCTTTGCAGGCAGCTCCTTTGTGCAGAGGCCTCTCCATTATCCCATGGGACCTTCAAGGGACACACAACCCCACCAGAGCAACACGAGATACTTTGATTCTCTGCATTTCAACGCTAACAGTTTGTCCCAGAAATTCTTTCTTCAGAGGTCACCCACACTCTGAAGAGGAGCACAGCAGTTATTCAACCCTCCCAAGCCAGAAGCTGCTCTATCCCTTGCCATCCTGCCATGATGTGTGCAGAGAGCAGACACCTTCCAGCAGCAGCTGGGGTCCAGCTTCAAGCTCACAAGGTGGGTGCTGAGGAGTGGGACTGCAAAGCTCCAGATCACATTGGCTTTGCAAGTGGCAGCATCAGGAGGGGGAGAGACTTGAAGTGCTACTGAAGGTGATGGCTTAACTGCTTTATTTTAATCCATATTTTTTCTCTGCTTTTTTACAGTAAACCTGGGACAACTTGGAGGAGAAGAGGTTTGGGAGAAACAGGCACATGCTGGAAGACTTTTCTAATGTATGACAAAGCAGAGGGCTACCCTGTCACATGCCAGTCACAAGCCTGAAGCATTAGTACATCACCAAATCCGTGGTCCCCAAACAGAACTGTCACCCTGCAAAAATCCACCCTGCTGCCATCACCTCTCACAGCACATGGTTCTGGCTCGTGCCAGGAAATCCTTCCTGCAGGTATCCTTCTGCTAAGGATAAAACTGACATGGATAAACACTTGAACCGATTGTTGCACGAAGGAAAAATCTCGATCAGAGAGGAAGACAAAGGCTGTTAACCTGTTCACAGGGTGTCACTCATCACCTGAGTGAGATCCCATCATCACGCCAGGCGTGGCAGGGCTGGTGTCAGCAGGAGGAAGGCACGGAGGTGCACAGAGACCATCAGACACAGATGGCAATTGTGGCTCCCCGAGACAGGCCCAGGCACGGGTCCGTGCGGGATGAAGAAGGGACGGGCAGGGCGCAGCGGCCCCGCCGCCACTGCGGCCTCCTCCTCCTCACCCTCACCCTCACCCTCGCCCTCAGAGCCGCCCCGCGAGCGCCCCCTGGCGCCACTGCAGCCCCCGCGGCCTAGGCCCCAAGGTCACACCGAAATGACATAAATCACAGAATTGTGGAATCGCAGAATATCCTGAGCTGGAAGGGACCCTTCAGGATCATCCAACTCCAGGCTCTGTGCAGGGCATTCCAAGAATCCCACCATGTGCCCAGGAGTATTGTCCAAATGATTCTTAACTCAGACATGCTGCTGCCCTGGGATCCTGTTCCAGTGCCCAAACACCCTCTGGGTAAAGAACCTTTTCCTGAGATCTAACCTAAACTTCCCCTGACTCAGCTCCCTGCTATTTTCTTGAGTCCTGTCGCTGGTCACAAGAGTGAAGAGATTGGTACCTGCCCCTCTCCTTCCCCCCATGAAGATGCTGAAGACCACAACAAGGTCTGACCTTGGTCTCCCCCTCTCCAGGCTGAATAAACCGAGTGACCTCAGCTCCTCCTCATAAGGCTTCCCCTCCAGACCTTTCATCATCCTCACAATCCTGCTCTGGACCCTCTCTAGCAGAATAATAAATAATAAAGTCTTTTTTATATTCAATGCCCAACAGTGTTGAATACAGCAGGACAATCACCTCCTTTGATGAGCTGGCAGTGCTGTGCTTAATGCAGCCAACCAAATTTCCTTCCAACTCATTCTATTCCAGCCTGGCTCATGGTACCAGAACAGTGCATCTTGTAGGTCTAAAAGGCTCATTATAAGAATTTTATTTGATGTGGGGGATAGTACAGCAATAAGAAAATTTAACATTTGAAAGTGGCTGCTCCCAGAACAGAACAATTCAGGCACCTAAAACATCTCAAGCTTGTAGAAGTGGTTACTGCTTACAGGAACTGTCAGCACACAAATGTCCTCAGTATGCTCTTGCTGGCCAAACTGAAGTCACCCATATCATCCAGCCCATCACTGACCTGCAAACAGCAATCTCTTCCTAATCTTCCCAAACTGGAAAAGTCTGCTCCACCTTTAAAGAGTTCAGCCTTGCAAAATTCTCAGCAGTTCCTCAGAATAGCAGAATTCTTAAATTTCAAAGGAGAAAGTGAGTCACATACAGCAGAGGTATTTACTGACACCCACCCAGGGAAATATAAAGCCATACACTTTAATCCAATTGTGTTCAGCAGAGCATTTAAGCACTTAAAATACCTATTAAGCATGATGCCTTGTTTAAATAAGAGATTTTCCAAACACACCTTTTATAGTGAATCAGACCTTTATGGCCTACTGCAAGCCAGCCACAAAAAGCAAGAGTGCCAACCAAAAGCTAAGTACGCTGCCACGCCTAAATGAGAATGTAAGCTGTGCAGCAATCGTTTCCAGTTACTGTTTGCTTTGCTTTCCAACCTCCTGCTGCTTCCTGATGTCTGACACATCCATGGGGACCCTCACTGTCAGACCATCCATCGACTTCTTAACGCACACCTGGCAGCCAAGGCGCGATCTGAGAAGAAAACAAGAAGTGAGGCTCCTCTGTTCCCAAATTAAAGGGAGAAATTCCCCACCCACACTGGGATGTCTGGTTCAGGATGGGTTTTCACTAAAACTCCTTTTAATGATCTGCTGTGCCTCAAGAGAAAGCAGCTCTCAAGGCTATATACAGAACTTATTATAACTATTATATTATAATATACTATAACTATAATACAGAACAAGCCCCATCCCCTTGGAAAGAAGTGCTGCATGGTGAGAATCTGCCTTAGAGGCTTGAGGATCTGCTGCAATCAGCAGGGAGGCTTACGTGTCAGTGAGTCCATATGCCAAGTCCAGCATGTCCAGCTCTTCATCTGAGATGGCATCAAGCTTTTGGAAGGCGTCCTTGTCAAAGATGAGGTGACAGGTAGAGCAGGCTAATGTCCCTTCACAGGCACCTGGTGGAATAACAAGGGAATGACACCAAATCAGGAAAAATAAGGGGGTGAGAGACCATCTTTAGGAACAACATGAGAAAAGGCACTTTAAAAGATCTCAAGCATGTCAAAAGAGATGCTAGGAAACACAACAGATGTATGTAGTTTCCAACCTGCCTCTTCTCTGGGAGAATCACCATCAGTTTTCAAATTTTTACATCAGCTCTATGCAGCCAAAAGCACTGACAGAGGCTGCTGGAATGCCAGTGGTGACTCTGTGAGGTTACATTGCCATCTCAGCATGGTGAGCCACCCAGCAAGCAGCTGGTGGAGAAGGGAAGGTTGTTTATGGTCTTAGCAGAAAATAGTGGCATATGTACTGGCCCTAACAGCACATGTAGGTATCCTGCTGCAACACCTACCAAATCCATCAATGGCCAAGTTGTGATTGACTACCACTTCCAGCAAAGTCTCCCCTTCTTTGGCTGTGGTTGTAAGTCGCTCTCCATCCCGATTTATAAAATGCACTGTCACCCGATCCTCAGAGCTGTAAGACAAATTTGCAAAAGTCAGGAGTCCACCCTTTTCTGCACATCCACAATCGAGGTATTTGTCTGAGTGCTAGAGACATGGCACTTAGAGGGAAATGTGCATGCAAACACTTTCTCAAAGGATTATGCTATGCACATGGGAAAAAATTCAAATTATCCATTCTCAGTGTCAGATAAATCTGAGTTGCCCCAAAATATTTCCCGTTTTATCAGATGGCCCAGAGAATAAATGTCTGTCTGTACACAAACAAGTACAGGTGCTCTGCATGTGCTACCCCTGCTTGGGCTGGCTGGTAGGGGGAACAGATGTAGGGAGACAGAGCATTTGCAAGTCCCAGGCCTGGGATGTTAATCCTGGGTAGAGTGATGCAATAACAAGCAAATTGCTCAGGATCAAATACTAATCCAGCAAGAAGGGCTGTTGTCATTCATGTTTTGCTTCCCCTTCCAAGGGGATTACTTGATGATTGTTCCTTTTCTGCTGCTTTTTTGTTCCATGAACTGCCCATTCCTTTCCTTAACTCCATCACAGTGAGCTTTCTTGTGGTGAGACACACCCAGCCCCAGCTTACAGAGCTACTGGGCTGAGTAACTGCCTCTGAACTGATGTGATCCACGCTCAGGAAAAATTGCTAGTTATTTTGACAGCCTGCAAGATTTAATCTGGCCAAGAGTTATGAACATGGCCATCAGCTTCTCTTAATGATAACTTCCAGAAAGGGCATCTAAAAATGAGAGGGGAAACAGCATCCAGTTCATCTCCTCCTGACCAGGCTCTCACACCAATCTGGAGAAGGCTGCTACTTTGACAGCAGTGTTTAGGATTTCTTACCAATACAGTATATTCTGAGACTTGTATTTGGCAGAGAAAGCACATGAGCAAGCACTGTTTTTTTTTTTCTTAGTGTACATACCAAATGCTCATTTAGGTAAAGAAGGTTCCTGTTACCCAAAGGTCCCACCTCCTGTGCTGAAAGAAGGCAGCACCCTGGAGGTAGGTGGGCCTTTCGTCCAGTAACTCTCAGTGTAGCCCAAGTGCCCATCATCCCAAAGCCCAGGGCATTCTCCACTGGCAGAAGCTTCTCTTTCATCAGGCTGACAACATACACCACAGTTTCCTTCAATAAAGACACCTACAGATATTTCTAAATACACAATTTAAAGACTAGTTCTCAATTGTCAAAACAGACTAAAATAATCTGCCTCATTTTTGATGCATCAGAGTAATTTATTCCATTTGTGTGGCAAATAGGCATGTTTCCAGACAATGTTTGGTTTATCTTTATGGGTGAAATAATTTGTTACACAACAGAAATGGTAGAGTGATAAATTCCATTTAGTGCTGCAACCAAATGGATTTTTAGGCTGAGTAATGAGAGATGACCACCTGCAGAGACTGCTGGATCCAAAAATCCCCAAAGCTGTCGGCACATTTATTGTCAGAAAACTTAATTCCTGTTATCCTTGAGGCACCTAGAGCTTTAGCCAACATTAATTGCAGGAGAATCTCTGCACCAACCTCACACAAATCTAGTTCCCTGCAGTTCTTCTGAGTTCAAAGCTTGCTTTGGCTGCTGCTCTCAGCTATGTGGGACCCAAGACAGCCAAGCTGCAGCCAGGGACAGCACTCAGAGTATCCTGTTAGGTACAAGGAAGGACAGATGCTATCTGCATGACTCTGGGTAAGCCTGGCTGCAGAATTCACTCTTCTCAAGAGCAGGGATGATGCCAAACACTCCTGACCATGATGCAGAGAATACCTTCAAGCAGCTTCCCTCTATACTGGCTGAAGGGAGTATTTAAGGTATTTGGCTGTGTTCTCAGGATTGGTGCCTCTGTTGAGAGATAAACCCAGTCTGATGACTCCTTGTTTTTTACTGTTCAGTTCAGTAACTGACTTGCATACTGGTCTCATTGTCTTTATATCACTCAAATCAGAGCAAGGCTGCTCAAGTGTCCTCTGAAAGACACCTGCTTTGGGTAGCCAAAGCTGGAAACAAAGTCTTCATATTTTTATTTTCTTTACTTTTGAATTTGTTTATTGGTGTTTTTGAAAGAGTGAAAAAATTCCTTTCACATTTTGTGAAGTAATTTTGAACCAGGATTGAAAAAAAAAACCACACCAAAAACCACCAAAATTGGTTATATTAAATTTTGCTTCATTTAGCATCAACTAATAGTTTTACAATGGCATTACTGTCACAGGATACGTGGTCAGAGGCTTGTAAAGATCTTACCAGGATATGATAAATTCAACACTGCAAAATCAGTGTATGCCAACTGATTATTCCCTTTTAAAAAATAAAATCTCAAACCTTTTGTGACACAGGAAAGTGGTGAAGGAGGTTCCATGAAAGTAGTTCTTCCCCCAACAATGTTTTCCCTAAAAGATATTTTCCAAGGCCATACAAACCAGCAAGATGCCTACAAGTACTGCCAGAGATAATTTCACAAGCAACAAACCAATTAGAAAAAAATCCCATTGATAATGAGTCTTCATAAATCCCACCAAGCAGGGTTATCACTGTGACTTTTCTCTAAGGTCAGATAGCAAAATAGCTTATTGTGTTTTCTGCAATGTTGGTTGGCTCTCTCTCCCTGCCTAGCATTACAGTCTGGCCCAGATTATACTGGTCTAGGAGATTCACAAATTACATTTATTTTATCTTCTCTTCCTGAACTATCCCTGAAGCAGAGAGAGGAAAGGCTGGCAGGGAGCCTGCAGTAGTTCCTGCTGTGGAAATGGGCCAAAAAACTCTTGTGCCTCTTTGTCACCTTCACCAGATAGATCCCAGCTGTTAGCTGTGGCCCCCACAGCTCTGGAGGCAGGACTAGCACTTCTGACAGGTCCCCAAAGCTCCAGGGACAGGAAGCAGCACCTCTGAGGCTGGGTCCTGGCACCATCTTCCTCCCATCAGTGTCTGCTCACCTAAGGTGGTCTCGTCCCCCACATCCCACGGGCCAGGGCTTCGCTGGCCTCTCTCCTCTTCCTGTCTCAGGGCAGGGCAGAGGTGCGTGCCCATCCCTTTGGACTCAGCAATGTAGCGTTTGACTCACCTTGATTCCCCAGGGGCATCCTGGGACCCATGTGTGGAGCTGAAGCCTCTTTCTGGCCACCACTTTGCTGGGCTGTGGTGCTGCTCAGTCACACCACAGAGAAAAATGAGGCGAATTTTGCTCGCGTTCAGTCCCCTCCGCAAGGGCTGCATGAGCCCCAAGATGCCGTGAGCCATCCTGCTGCTGTGGGTGCTGCTCCGTGTCCCCCGAGCTGTCCTTTGATGCAAGGACAGCTTGATTAGGGACTTATACATACAGCTGGGGAGGATGGGGGGGAAGGAAAGGAAAAAAAAAAGAAAATAGTAGGACAGCCTCCCTGGGGGTGGAGGGAGGGAGGAGGGAAGGGAAGCAGGAAGGAAGGATGGACAAAGGGATTGTGCTTGGATCTTGCTGCAGTCCAGCCCATCAGGGCATGGGAATTGGTTGAAGCACAGGAACATGTGCTTCAGCACAGGAACATCACCTCCACATGCCAGTTTCTGAGCAATGTTCACTTTGTTCTCCCTACAGACTTCCCTTTTAGGAGCCACAACTAAATCAAATTTCAGGAGATATATTCATTGTGATGTCTAATCATACAAGGAGTTGCAAGTTGAGGACTGGGAGAACAGAGAGGCAGGAGCGCTGATGACTGCTGCCTTGAGGAGAGGGGACGCAGTTCCTACAGCAACAGAGTGAAAGCAAAACACAGGAATTCTTCTCTTGACAAGATGGCATCCAGCCACATCATTGCCTTACCCAAAACTGCAGGCTTCCATCTCTAAAATGTGAATATTCACTTACTTCACATGATGGTGATGAGAAGCAGCCACACTTAGCTTATTTGCTAAACTCTCTGCTGAAAAGTACCATAAAGGTGCAGATAACTGTCATTCATTTCATTCTAACTGATAATCCATGCTACTAAGCTTTGAAGCCTTGGAGAAGAAAACTCTTTATTCTCAGAAACACATTTGTTGGTTTAGTCTACCCTCCTCTACAGGGTAAATCAATATGAATCCAAGGGCCAAAAATATAACAAAAGACAGTTTCAGTTCCTGGTTTCTGTTAGTTCTCAACTCAAGAGCCTGAATGGTTCCTTCCACCAAATTAACAGCTCACCATTTGGTAGGATATCTGCTATTACCAAGTTTTATTAATGCAGTAACATATTTGGTAGCCATTATAAGCAAAATATGTTGATACTGAACTCTCTAATCCATCTGTACAGGGGAAAAATGACAGCATAAGATAGAAAATGTCTGCCTCAAAACACACACAGTGCTGGATTCATAGTTCTGAAGATAACCAGAACATTTTGGCTTTTTGCCCCAAAATGAAAATTTTCCTCCCAAAGCTTTCAGGTTGGAAGGGTTGGAAAGGGGTCCTTAAACTTTCTGAAAAAAGCATCAATGATATTAAGGAATGCAAGTATTTTCCATAAGCTGGGAAAGAAATGTATTCTTCAGTTCAAAGGCAAGAGTTCAAGCATTCAAACACACCCCTCAGACAGCTCCAGTGGAAACAAATGCATGGTCAATGCATAAAGGATTAAAAACAAAAAAAATTCTCAGGTCAACTTTTTCAGGTGGTTTGCTCTCTCCTACAAGCTGCCCCAAATGCTTCAGTCTTCAAAGCCAAATTCTTGAGCTCCATCTCACCCCAAACTTAAAACCACTCTGTGCAGCCTCTGCAGCTGAGAGACTGGCCAGTTCTGCCCTTGCTTTTCAGGCCCTACAGAGGCAGAAGACAGCCCAGTTCCATCTCTCAGCCATTTCCACAGCAAGAAAGCAAGGCTTGCCATGAGAGACACAAGGAGAGGGGCCACAGCACATACAAACCACAAAGCATCTTATCTCTCCAGCAAACCTTGAGTTGAGAGAGATACATGAGATATATGCACAGCAGTTTTCACAGCAAGGACATTTGTGTGTTTGTCTGGCACTGACTCCTCTCCCTACCAGGAACTCAGAGCACAGCAAGAGACAGGTCAATGTCACCTCATGGAAGAGAGAGAAGTCAGGGATATGAGGAGCAAGCAAAGGGGACAACTGCTCCCTGGTGAAAGCAAAACAATTCTGCTGAGGCAGGAGAGATTCAGGCCCTTACATGTTTTGAATAGTCTGTTTTAAGGTCTTTGAAATACTGAGAAAAGACAGAAGCAAAATCTCCTTTTCAGAATAAATCATTGTTCATTTAGCCAAGGCCACAAAAATAGAAAGCTTTGCAAATAACCACCCCTCCCACAAAAAAAATGCAAAACCAGCCAACAAAAAACCCAAACCAACCAACCAACCAAGAAAAAATACCACTGCTTAAAAAAAAACCCAAAAAACACCTCAAGATTTTGCTTCACAGGTCAGCACATATTTTATGAGCAGGCCAGACACAGCTGAAAAGAATCTTTAGCTCTGTTTCAAATATGTTTTGGCAGAAACCAACTTCCCAGCAGTTCACATAGGCACATTGCCCCCCACCTCCCCACACTCTGTCAGTGCAGTGGCTATACCCACACATCCAGTCATGTGTTGGCACATGCTGGTAAGGAAGTGGTTTTCTAGCTTGAAATACATCCTCCAATATCTTCTGTACCACACACCAAACGATGTGGTCCTCCCTCTCCCCTGTCTAGGGACTCTCATGCAAATATCCAAAACACCTATGAGCTGCCATTAACTCCATCTCAGCCCCAATTTCTGCACAAGGAAGTAAACACTGAAATCAGCACTGGCCTATTCCAACCAGAAGTTACAAAACACCTTTGCAGCCCTCCACAGCTGAGAAGCATACTTGGATTTTTGAGATACCCAACCCAGCTCCTCTGACCACTGCTAGTTTCTTGCCAGCAGCAGAGCTGCCCTGGCTCAGTCACTGCCCATGCTATTCAGGTGCAGATAGTCCTATGGGGGAAGTCTCAGGGACTGTAGTCAGAGCAGCAGGCACACAGACCCAGGAATAATGAAGATTTCCAGAAGCCAGCCTTCATTCATTGGAAAAGCAAGAATAACTTACCCCTCCCCTCCTACCAAGCTCACTGCCTCACAAACACTCCTGTAGGGAAGCAGGTATGGGCTGCTTGCTGACACAGAACTAAAGCACTGAGCAAAACTAAAATTCACCTTTCCCACTGTCACTTTAAAAAACCATTAACCACCTTTCCTGTTCCAGAGCAAGTTGCTAATAAAAGCAAACAGAACAACTTGTACTGGTTTGACTTTTTGCAAGCCTGCAAGCCCAGACAGAGAGTGTTTCTGCTGCCTCAAAAGAGATGCACTGAGCATAGATCCAGGACAAAGTGCACACACCAAGTGAGCTCAAGTCACAGATACTGCCTCAGAGGTTGGGGCCTGGGGAGAGGACTGTAAATGTGCCTCAGTTTCTACATCTCCCAGACAGGACTGTTTGCACCATTCTAACTTTCCCTAGAGATTCAGCAACCTTCTGAGAATAGCACAAACAAAAGGAGCAAGGACCATATTGTCACCACTGGAAGCAGGAGGGCAGACATGCAATCAGAGATGGGCTGACACTGCAACAAGAAAGCACAATGAATTCACAACAGGGCTTCTGGACAGCAGCCACTTCTGACAATGCAGCTGCTGCCTGGCTGGGTGAAGGCCACTAAGAAGTTACAGTGCCCCAGCCAAGACCTTCACTCGCACATGCTTCTCCTTCAAGCATCCAGTCAAGGATGCTTCAAAGATGGATGGGAGTGCAATACTGCTGCATGTGGGGTATAGACAGCCTTCACCTTAACCTCCCAGCTCAAGAGCTGTTTATTTCACACCCCTTCAGTCAAACTTGTTGACTCAGACCAGCCTGCATTTTGTTAAAGGATGATGCACAACCACAGGCTATAGCAATCATGGGGGCTTGTAATTTTTAAATTAGCTCTGCTCACCAGAAAGATGTTTATTAATACCTGCTCTGAGCAAGTGCATTCTTACCAGAAGCTGAAGGTACAGTCTCCTGCCCCTACAAGCATCCAGTATTACTTTTTGCAGTTTCAGCACTACTTTTTCTCTAATATCTCCTCATTCTTTCTTCCACTTTTCACTGTATCACTCATCCTGACACCTGTCCTGAAAAGCTTCATCTTGGAATTGCTAGTAATGTTTAGAGACCCATCACCTGGAGCTAGATACTCATGTAGGCATGGTTCAGACACAGGAGCCTGCTCCTTTGTCTACAAACTGCATTTGGAACAGCAAACCTGCAAGGCAAAAGCCAGCCTCAGCCTAGCATTTCATACATTGAGGCCCAGACCATTTTTTACAGAATGCATTGGGTTGGAAGGGGTAAAGATCATTTAGTTCCAATCCCCTGACCATGGGCAAGGATGCCACCCACCAGACCAGGTTGCTCAGGGCCTCACCCAACCTGGCCTTGAACATTTCCAGGGATGGAGCATTTTTCTTACGGAAATTATTTTTCTACAAGGGAGACATTAACATCACATGTGGCATCAATTTGCATATGGGCATGCAACAGTTACGGGTTGACATCAGTCACAGAGGAATTCTGTTCTCTGCCAGTTGTCACATGCTCTGAGATTATATGCCCTGCTATAAGACATTTAAACTACATAGCCAAGATTGAGTTATGCACAGCTGCAAAGCTGGCAGGGAACAGAAGAGTCATACTGATGGTACAGGGCAAACAAGCCATGCCTCAGGTGCTCTCTGCTTTCTCACTTGCAGTCTGACTTTGTGGGTGCTCAAGCAGCTGCCATACAAATGCCTATAATTATCATACCTTACTCTGTACATTGTACTACCAACCTTGGGATGCTGGAAAAATGCTTGTGCTTTCCTTCAAACATATTATCTTGAGCAAGAAACTAATAAGCTGTTCATCGACCTAGCAAAATTCCTACAGGGCTTGTCTGCATCAAAACAAATCAGAATTTGAAGACCATGCCCTTGCAATTCCCTGCTTTAGAAAGAACAAACAAGAGAAGGAGGAAGCAATCAGTCTTACTTCTGCAGTTACTTTGTCCTACTTGGACTCAGTGCATCTCAGGCCAAATGCATAAGTCTACCAAACAGATTGAACTTAATGAGTATTTTACTCTACGGAGTAACTTTGGCTTTTCTTTAGAGTTCTTAATAAATTGCACTGCTTAATAAAGCAACATTGCAAAAAGATGGTGTTTATAGACCCCCCAGCCTTCTGAGAGCCTTTCATGCTCTAGTCTGCCCCATCCCACAGCCAAAAATAGCTGGGCCCCAAACATATGTAGATATAGTCTAAACTGGATCTGAAACATCCCAGACAGACTAGCAAATC